CAAACAATAAATTATTAATAATATTAAAATAAGTCTGCTAAAATATTAATAAAATAGATAAACATTTGAAAAACTGATCAAAGGTAAAAAAAGAGATATTTTAAATAACAGCTTTAAGAATGTGAAGAAGAACAGGACCCCACAAACACTACAGATTTAAATAGATAACTGCATTATTTTGGCTAGATGAGTCTGAAGTCCATTAGTTTCAGGCATGTCCTGTAGTTGATAAGAATGAAAGTCAAGTTCCATTTTTGAAAAGTAAAAAAATACAGAAAGTAATAGAGTTGAAGTATTTTCTAACTTTCACATCAAGGAATATATGACTTGGGATACATATTTGTTGGATCACTAGTGACCCAGCAAAAGCTCACAGATTCCAGAATCTCTTTCATATTGCTCCCAGAATATAGTGAAAATTCTACAACATTTTGCTCTAATGAACAGTAAAAAGGCATTCGCAGTAGTATCTTGGTAATTGTTATTTACAGTGCCTTTTTCTACCCAGAACGATCTCTTTAACCATACCTTAATATGTCCTTGAATCTTGACTACTACTTGTTATGTGAACTAAAGATTAAATGTCATTGAAATTAAAAATCAAATTTCATATCAGATTATCATTTGGTTACAGTTATCAATCCAATTTTTCTAGGTTTGATAGGGGCTTTCTCTTCTTATTAACCTTAGCTATTTCACTCTTTTAGATTAAATGAACAAACGTTACTGTTGAAAAGGTTGAGGGATATATAGGCCTGGCCATTGAAAGCATAATAATCAGATGACTTTTAGTAAACTTAAAGAATCTTAAAAATATGAGTGTGCTTTAACATGACAGAATGTGATTTTTTAACATGAGAATACATTAATATAATTTAGAGGGAAACAAAAGATTACATAATAATTTGCCTGCATGATGAATCAGATTTTAAAAAACAAGAAATATACCTATTGCAACTGCAAAGGCACTACTTCAACATATACATGTTTCTTTTTTTTTTTCTTTTTTTGAGATGGAGTCTCACTCTGTTGCCCAGGCTGGAGTGCAGTGGTGTAATCTCGGCTCACTTGCAATCTCTGCCTCCCCGGTTCAAGTGATTCTCCTGCCTCAGCCTCCCAAATGGCTGGGATTACAGTTGTGCGCCATCATGCCTGGCTAATTTTTTACTTTTTTTTTTTTTTTTTTTTTTTTTTTAGTAAAGATGAGGTTTCACCATGTTGGCCAGGCTGGTCTCGAACTCCTGACTTCAGGTGATCCACCTGCCTCAGCCTCCCAAAGTGCTGAGATTACAGTTGTGAGCCACCAGCCCAGCCTGTTTCCTACTTTTTAATTAATAAGGGCAAAACAAAACAAAACAAAACGAAGAACCAAAAATGTGCCCCACTAATCAACAGTTTTCCTGTTAAAAATAAATGAAGCCTCATTTCTGCAGTATCAGTATTAGTGAAACAAAGACTTTGAGAATATAATTGCTATTTCCTCAACGCTAAAAGCATATTTGTTGAAAGAACAATTCTGATGCATTAAAATGTTATAATTTAGACTTTCTTATTAGTTAATTTCAGAGTAAGTGAAAATACATCATCAGTTCTGGAATATTCAGACTAACGGAGGAAAAGCAGACCAAATCAATAATTAAGTTGTTCAATCAACACAAAATTAAGAGTCTGCTGTGTGTAAGCTAGGCAAGAGCGCAAACTGGAATGATAAGTAGTGGCCAGAAATTTACCAGAAAACGAACATTTTGAAAAATTATTATCATTATTAGTTATGTATAGAGCTGATGTTTATTTCTGGACATAAATTGATAGGTTACATTGTCTTTTTTATGCTTCGCAATAATATTCATAATTTTTTTTTTAAATTTACTAAGTTACTTGTGGTTCGTAAGAATAATTGGTTTGGTTTGGTTTTTCTCCAAAGTTAGGTAACTTGCTCTTCTGGAGTGGCTTGAGTACTAAACGATTCCACTTAACTATATAGGAAAAACCACAGGGCAATTTTTTTATTACAAGACCCAATTTGCAGTCCTCCTTTATCAATATTGGTATAATTTTGTTATAGCATCAATATCATTCTTGATATAATTTTAGAGGATTACTAGAAAAGAGAATCTTTTTTTTTATTTTTTATAATTTCTATAATTTTTAATTTTTATGAGTACATAGTAGGTGTATATATTTATGGGATACATGATTTATTTTGATACAAGTGTACAATGTGCAATAATCACATCAGAATAAATGGGATATCCATCACCTTAAGTATTTTTCCTTTCTTTGTGTTACAAATAATCTAATTATAGTCTTGTAGCTACTTAAAAATGCACAATAAATTATTGCTGGCTGTAGTCACCGTGTTGTGCCATCAAATACTAGGTCTTTTTCATTCTACACATATTTTTGTGCCCAATGACCATCCCCACTTCCACTCCTCCACTACATTTTTCAGTTTCTGGTAACCATCATTTTAATACAAATGTGAATTACAATGTCCTAATATAACTTTAGAAATGTTTTGCTTCTCAGTAATTTTGTGATGTGAACAAACATTTAAGAAACTGGGCTGGGCACGGTGGCTCACGCCTGTAATCCCAGCACTTTGGGAGGCCGAGGTGGGTGGATCACGAGGTCAGGAGATCGAGACCATCCTGGTTAACATGGTGACACCCCGTCTCTACTAAAAATACAAAAAATTAGCTGGGTGTGGTGGCGAATGCCTGTAATCCCAGCTACTCGGGAGGCTGAGGCAGAATTGCCTGAACCCAGGAGGCGGAGGTTGCTGTGAGCCGAGATAGCGCCATTGCACTCCAGCCTGAGTAACAAAAGCAAAACTCCAACTTAAAAAAAATAAATAAAAATAAATAAAAATTAAAAACTGCTATTATTTTTTTCTAGTAAAAATATCCTATGGTAGAATTTCAAATATTATGTTAAATTCTTTTCATGTTTATTTGGATAAAATAAGGCAGGTTAAGTAAATATAACCATCTCATTTTTTATTGATTGTATATATATATATATATATATATATATATATATATATTTTTTTTTTTTTTTTTTTTTCTTTTTTTTAGACAGAGTCTTACTCTGTCACCTAGGCTAGAGTGCAGTAATGCAATCTCAGCTCATTGCAACCTTGCCTTCTGGGTTCAAGCAACTCCCCTGCCTCAGCCTCCTGAGTAGCTGGGACTACAAGTGGATGCCAGGAGGCCCAGCTATTTTTGTATTTTTAGTAAAGACAGGCTTTTGCCATGTTGGCCAGGCTGGTCCTGAACTCCTGATCTTGTGATTCACCCACCTAGGCCTCCCAAAGTACTGGGATTACAGGTGTGAGCCACCGCGCCTGGCAATTGTATGCATTCTTTAGAAGGTCAGAACTATTTCTGCCCTGATAAAGATAATGACATTGCATATACCTTCACAGAGAACAAGCACCCTCATGGGAAGTTATTTCAATGAACTTTTTCCCATCTCTTATTAGAGCACATTGCCAAAAAGAAAAAGAATTTAGAAAACAATAGCATTTTACTAGTAGAAACAAAGAAACAAATAGCAACTGAATATACCCAGACTGTGGGGATTGGATATCTTATTAGAGATTTGCAACATCTGTGGACTATGAGATTTCCCCTGATGTGGCACAATTTACACTATAAAATACTTGCTTTTGTTCATTAGGAAATTTACATTGGGTTTTGCCAGCTCACTTTACCAAAACCATCTGGATTTTTCTGCCCAGGTCCACTCATATGAGAAACATAAATACACGAGAATAGTTTTCATTTTCTATAAAAGAATTGTGCAAAGAAATACTTTGGCAGACAGTATGGTGTAGTAAAAATGCTGTGGCTGAATCTCACTACAGTAACTGAAAGCTATGATATTGCAGGTGAAGATGTTAGCGAGAGACTACATAGGAATTCCTGTGATTCACTTGCTCTCCTCCCTAACCCAGATATAATCCTGAAAGGAGATGGATTCTGTCATTTCCATACAATCATTTTTCCATCTCTACATTTATCAATCCTAGTCTAGATTAACAGAAAATAATATTTTTGGTGAGTTCTTCTATATTGCTGCAAAATAAAGAAATAAATGTGATTTATCTCATAATAGGAACACACTCATAAATTCCTGTGCAATTTCTTTGTTAACCATAAATACTAAGGTAGAAAATAGACATAATAAAATATTTACATAGAACATATTAGAGTAAAGCATACATTTCTGTGATATATGTAAAAGAAAAATTTAACAGCAAGGTTGTCTGTAGCTGGATTTTATATTTTATTGTAATTCCCATTGAAAGCAAAGAAATATACAATCTTTTTGGTAAAGTCCACTTTTATTCATTTATTCAACAAATATTCTGTAGTATCTCCTATGTCCTAGTCAATATATTAACTCCTGTGGCAGATACAGAGGCAAATAATATTCAATAGGGCAGTTCTTACAGTGAAGGAAATTGGCAAATAAACTAATTGTATCTGATACTGCTATGTTGGAGGTGTGGTTCTGAATAAAGGCAGAATGTTTATTTCTCTCTGACATGTGATTTCCAGTCACTAAAGTGATGCTGGAGTTAAGAATTAGAGAATGAGCTATATACAATAGATGAATAATCTTGGAAAAACCATTTTTATATAGACTAAGGGCTTCATTTTTAAAAAGGAACTGAGTATGAGTATGCAAAGTATATTTAGGGGATAAACAGGTAAGAGATGTGTACTCCAATAAAAAATGTCTACGGGGGCTATATTTTTTCCTGGGGCCCTCTATCATACCTGTAGACAGAACTCTTTTTGTTAACAACAACAACAACAAAAAATCTCAAAGATTGCTGAAATTTTCTCTTTCTGGCTCCTACCTTTAAATGAATGATACTATTATTTAGGGGAAAGCACATCAATTAATTAACAGTCTTAAGAAATTAGGATATTTTATCAGGAAAAGTACTAAAGAGAAAGCAACTTAAAAGATCAGTTTAAAATAGAACATTTTGATAGGCACCATTTATGTGGATTCAATAGGCAGAAACTTATTAGAGGATTCGATTCGAGTAGTGTAAATGGGGCATGAAGGCTTCAGTGCATATATATAGGATTGGAGATGCTTTCATTTTCCATTCGATGAAATTGAATTTCTCAGAATGAACTCTATATCTTTTTAATTCCATGATTTTCAGCAAGCAGAAGGACAATATTCTGTAATTTATGAAGATAGTTTATTATTATTTTTTATTAGCTCTCAGCTTTAGCAACCACTTTCCTCCCCCTCCCTCCCCAACCATGTTGCTGCTGGTGATCCTTATAAGGGAAGCTGCTTTTCATTTTCATTTTCCTCAGCACAGCTGGTGCTTACACTACCCTAAACATTCATTGAGTCATTTCCTGCTGATAAATGTCTATATGTAGTCAGGATTGTCACCTATGCGTGTGATACTAAAGTGTCCTCTCTCTTTTTAAACCAGGATAGCATTTGTACCAGCCTCTAATCTTATGTACCACTTTCTCTCCTTTCAGAACTAAGCTGGCAATTCTCATCTTGAATAGCTTTAAAATTGCTCGTAGCAATCAATGACAACTGAGGCATCACTAAAGAATTTCTTTTATCTCCAAGCTCCAATTTAGATCTGTCATTAAGCTTGAGTAAGCTTGAACTGTCAGAACATTTTCCCTCATCACATGCTGTAAGCACAGAAAGTCAACTTCAAAATCAAATTTGTTCTATCTCTTACTATACTTTGTAATGGTTTCATATGAACAATAAACTTTACTGAAATAGTGGTGTCAGTCTTTAATAACTCAGAACACTATGGCTTCAAAAGGTGGTGAAATGCTGCCAAAACTCAAGTATGACGTATGGTAAATCGTTCATTCACATTCAGTTGCTCTTTGTTGTGCTTTAATATTGGGGGAACGAGAACTTGGCAGTGGGCATGGAGATGTGGAGTCTCCTCCTTTTAGAGGAAAGGTTGTGTAATCTTTCTGGCAAGACGCTTTCCCTCCCTCCGCCTTTGTTTCCATGCTTGTAACATGAGATCGTTTCATTAGTTGAATTCTAAGTCCCCGCCCATTTGTAACTTTGGATTCTTAATAAATTCGACTTTTCATTGTGTGGTGTTATTCTTCAAGAAATGGATTAGGAAGGTTACCACACAAAGCTAGAAGTCATAAATTAATTACGAAGCCCGTAATCCAAATCTAATTGTCAAAACGCGTTGGTTTCATCTTCTGGAACAAAATAATGTTTTGTTTGGCTTATGCTGATGAACAGAAACTGTCTTTTAAAGATCACAGTTTCTATCTTGGAGATCTTTTCCACTGACAGATACTTCAGCCTCATCCACATATTTAAATGTACTTTGATCTTTCTTTGTTTTGCAAATTTCCTTTTGAAACAGTCTGTGTGAGCATTAGAGTGCCAAACTGAGACTAAAGACCACTAAAATCTGGCAGAGCTACACATATGAAGAATTCAGCAGCTCAAATATGTTTACTTTACAGAGTCCATGTTCAAAATAAATGATTGCTTTTTTACAATTTTTTAATCAAATCCAAATTGACTTGTATTTCTTCTTTTATCCATAAAGGAAATAGGAAATTGTTAATAATAGGACATTAATAAAAAGGTAATAATCACTTTTTAAATTTGTAAGTACCATAGTGTTAATGTGAATTTATTCTTTTCTTATCTATCTTCCTGTTAAATGATGGCCTTAACAGAAACATAATTCAGGTCTTGATTATCATGATGTATTAGAGTGAGAAGAAAATTGATAATTATTATTTTTCTTAGTGATGGGGGTCTCACTCTATTGCCTGGGCTGGAATGCAGAGACACAAACATGGCTCACTGTAGCCTTGACCTCCTGGGCTCCAGCAATTCTCCTGCTTCAGTCTCCTGAGTAGCTGGGACTACAGGCACATGCCACCATGCCCGGCTAGTTTTTGCATTTTTTGTACAGATGGGATTTTGCCATATTGCCCAGGCTGGTCTCAAACTCCTGAACTCAAGTGATCTGCTCACCTTGGCCTCCCTACCTTCTGTGATTACAGGTGTGAGCCACCATGCCCGGCCTTGGTGATCTTTTACACCTATAAATCAAGATCTTTTTTTTTGGGGGGGGGGGAGGAAGGCAGGCAGGGAGGGAAGAAGGACGGTAGGGAGGAAAAAAGGGATGAAGGAAGGGATGAAGGAAGGAAGGAAGGAAGGGAGGAAGTGGGGAGGGAGGGAAGAAGGACGGTAGGGAGGAAGGAAGGGATGAAGGAAGGAAGGAAGGAAGGGAGGAAGCGGGGAGGGAGGGAGGGAGGGAAGGGAAGGAAGGAAATCAAGCAATGAGAGAGACATTGCCGACCTGGATCTAGAGGTTTACAAGTTGATTTCTTTTTTTTTGAGAGAAGGAAAGAAAAAAAAAATAAGTAAAGGAGAGGAAGAAAGAGGAAGAGAAAGAGGGAGAGTAAATGGAAATATTGCTTTATTTTGAAAAAAATTGAGTATTAATAATGGCCAATCAATGTTTCATTTAAACTTATGGGTAGGTGTGATGTGGTATTGACAAGAATGTATATTTTGTGTATTCGAAGTGTAGAGCTCTATGAATATTTATTAAGTTTACTTGTTCCGGATCTGAGTTCGAGTCCTTGGTATCCTTATTAATTTTCTGTCTCATTGAATCTAAGTCTCGTATCTGGGTGTTAGGATCGTTAGCTCTTGTTGTTGCATTGATCCTTTTACCACTATATCTTTGTTGCTTTAAAATCTATTTTCTCCGATACGAGAATTGCAACTCCTGCTTTTTATTTATTTATTATTTATTTTTGCTCTCCATTTGGTTGGTAAATCTTTCTCCATCCCTTTGTTTTGAGTCTTTGTGTATCCTTGCATTTGAAACAGGTATGGATGTAAAATGCCATTGGGTTTTGGCTGTGTCTTTTGATTGGGGGATTTAGTCAATTTAAATTTAGGGTTACTGCCATTTGATGTTGACTGGCTGTTTTATCCATTCGTTGGTGTAAATTCTTCTTTATGTTGGTGCTCTTTACTTTTTGGTGTATTTTTAGAAAGGCTAATACTGGTTGTTTCTTTCTGTGTGTAATGCTTCTTTCAGAAGCTCTTGTAAAGCAGGCCTGGTGGTAATAAAATCTCTGAGTTCTTGCTTGTTCATAAAAGATTTTATTTTTCCTTCAGTTGTGAAGCTTAGTTTGGCTGGATATGAAATTCTGGGCTGAAGGTTCTGTTCTTTGAGAATGTTGAATATAGGCCCCCACTCTCTTCTGGCTTGTAGAGTTTCTGCTGAGAGATCTGCTGTAAGTCTGATAAGCTTGCCTTTGTGGGTAACCTGACCTTTCTCTCTGGCTGCCCTTAGTATTTTCTCCTTCGTTTCAACCCTGGTGAATCTAACGATTATGTGCCTTGGGGTTGCTCTTCTTGAGGAATATCTTTGTGGTGTTCTCTGTATTACCTGGGGTTGAATTTTGACCTGCTTTGCTAGTTTAGGAAAATATTCCTGAATAATGTCCTGAAGGGTATTTTCCAGCTTGGATTCATTCTCTCTATCACATTCAGGTACACCTATCAAACGTAAATTTGGTCTTTTCACATAGTCCCACATTTCTTGGAGACTTTGCTCATTCCTTTTTATCCTTTTTTCTCTAATCTTGTCTTCTCATTTTATTTCATTAAGTTGGACTTTGACCTCTGATATCCCTTCTTCTGCTTGAACAATTTGAGTGTTTAAACCTGTGCATACTTCTCGGAGTTCCTGTATTAATCAAGATCTTAATACAAATATTCTAGCAGATGACCAGTTGAATTAAGAATACCATTCTGTGATTTTTTTCTTTCCTTTTCATTGTCAGATCTTCTTTACGATGGTTCTGTACTTTAGCCCAGAATCTCTTCTCATCACTCACTCTTCATTGATGTCACTCTTAGCCTGAGTAATGTATCAATGTTAAAATTTGATGGGAATCTTTACAATCTTCACCACATTTTCTTGCTCCTAATCCAAATGTGTGTTATTCCTTAGGGAATTATTTGATAATGGCTAGCAATCTTTTTATTTTTATTTCTTTAATTAAATTTTTAATTATACTTTAAGTTCTGGACACATGTGCAGAACATGTAGGTTTGTTACATAGGTATACAACCTATGTAAGGTATGCAGCATAGGCTGCACCCATCAACCTGTCATCCTCATTAGGTTTTTCTCCTAATGCTATCTTTCCCTTAGCCCTTCACCTCCAACAGGTCCTTGTGTGTGATGTTCCCCTCCCTGTGTCCATGTGTTCTCATTGTTCAACTCCCACTTATGAGTGAGAATATGCAGTGTTTGGTTTTCTGTTTCTGTGTTACTTTGCTGAGAATGATGGTTTCCAGCTTCATCCATGTCTCTGCAAAGAACATGAACTCATCCTTTTTTATGACTGCATAGTATTCCATGGTGTATATGTGCCACATTTTCTTTATCCAGTCTATCGTTGATGGTCATTTGGGTTGGTTCCATGTCTTTGCTATTGTTAATAGTGCTGCAATAAACATACATGCGCATGTGTCTTTGTAGTAGAATGATTTATAATTCTTTGGGTACATACCCAGTAATGGGATTGCTGGGTCAAATGGTATTTCTGGTTCAAGATCCTTGAGGAATCACCACATTGTCTTCCACAATGGTTGAATTAATTTACGCCCCCACCAAGAATGTAAAAGTGTCCCTATTTCTCCATATCCTTTCCAGTATCTATTGTTTCCTGACTTTTTGATGATCGCCATTCTAACTGATATGAGACAGTATCTCATTATGGTTTTTATTTGCATTTCTCTAACGACCAGTGTTGATGAGCTTTTTTCATATGTTGGTTGGCTGTATAAATGCCTTCTTTTGAGAAGTGTATGTTGTTATCCTTTGCCCACTATTTGATGGGTTGTTTTTTTCTTGAAAATTTATTTAAGTTCCTTGTAAATTCTGGATATTCGTCCTTTGTCTGATGGATAGACTGCAAAATTTTTCTACCGTTCTCTAGGTTGCCTGTTCACTCTGATGATGGTTTCTTTTGCTATGCAGAAGTTCTTTAGTTTAATTAGATCCCATTTATCTATTTTGGCTTTTGTTGCCATTGTTTTTGGTGTTTTAGTCACGAAGTCTTTGAATGACTAACAATTGTTTTAGGCTATTTTATCCTGGAATGTTAAGGGCTAGTCG